ACCCCAGGCAGAAATTTGATCTTTTTTCTTTTAAAAGATGAAATTCCCCTTTTATCCCTTTTGTTATAATCCATAGCTTCTCTGCTTATTAAACCTTAAGGAAAAGACTAAAATATTTTGCCACTATTTTACTGTCAGTATGAATTCATTTCAAAAAGAAAAATAACAATATATCTATTGCATTAAAAATGTTCTGATCTGATTATAGCTACAAGGTAATAGATATTAAAGGATATAGTGCTCTTCCATATGACAATTATAAATGGTGCAGTTTCTTTATTCCAGGAAATGTTACAAAATTTGGGGAACATTAAATTAATATAATTTGTTCAAAGGTGCTTAAGTCCAGTCTAGAGGATGGGTAAGTTCACTGTAGTCCAGACAAGTGTATTGTACAAATCGTGCTCAGAAACCATCTGCTAAAACTAGCCTCATTGTTTTGTGATCACATTATATGAAGGAGTAAATGCTGTATCAGAGATTCCAGGAATAAAATCTGCTGGTCCGAGTGCAGTGGTGTTTACAACCAATTGATCACAACCAGTTACAGATTTCTTTGTTCCTTTTCCACTCCCACTGCTTCACTTGACTAGCAAAAAAAAAAAAAAAAAAAAAAATCAGTGTCCAAAGGAACAGAAAAGCTAATGTCATGGGTACCCGTATATCAACATTAATGTGATTTTCAGATCACTGATGACAGCAGACACCATGGTAATATCTCATATTCTTATTGCTTGAATATTTTCATAAGAAGGAAAAAAATAATTCAGTACAAATTTTCAATATTTTAACAGTAGATTAAAACTAGTATTTTCTAAATATTTGAATTACCCATTGATTTATTTCATCCATTGTTCTCTCTGAAAGTATCAATCCAGTGGATTTTCTAGGATCAGCATTTAGTAACAATTGGATATGTACTTTCACTGCTGGATTTTCTAGGATCAGAATTTAGCAACAATTGTGTAAGTGTTTTCACTATTTAGACTGTTGTGTGCACGAACAGTACGTCAGGTCCAGCTTAGGCAGGCATGTAGTCACGGCGTTAGACACTATGCGTTATTTGATGGCCACACAAACCCTGTAACGCAGATTTGCCTGTGTCTGTTTTCAAGGAGAATGTGTGCGCTTCCCGACACTCGACCTCATCAGCTCCGTGGGTGTCAGTCGGGCCGGCTCCCCTGCTGCTGGCTTCATCCTTCTCTTGGAAGAATTCCCTTTTTCCACTGAAGGCTCTGCTTCCAGCCATGCTTCAGGCCACCGGAAACCCCAGCTCTCTCTGGCCCCACACAGACCTCAAGCTTGTCCGAGCGGCCATGCAGTGAAGGGCTCAGCCTCTTGGCCTTTCCCGGTGTCACTGCTCAGCAGGGAACATTCCGGATTGAGGAGGCCAGAGCAGGCAGCGCCTCCTTCAAGAGCAGCCAGGCAAGTGACGCTCACTGTTGCCGCTGTGATGAACTCAATAGTGCACAGTTCTGAACTAAAACAAAAGAGAGGGTCTGCTGTGATTTGAATGTGTGTCCCCTTCAAATTCATGTTACACTGAATCCCCGCTATGGTGGTGTGAGCAGGTGCACAGATGAGTGCCTCATGCAGGGGCTGCAGGAAGGAGCCAAGGCTGCTACAGGCCTCCGTCCACCTCCTTCCTGAGTACGCAGCCCTCGTCCCAAGACACCCACCCTGCCAGCGCTTTGATCTTGCACTCCCAGCCTTCAGCACTGTGAAAAATAAAACTCTATTGCTTATAAGTTACCCTCTATTACGTGCACATTACCCAGTCTGTGGTATTTTGTTACAGCAGCACGGAGGGACAGAGACACACTCATACTCCCCTCAAGCCTAGCAATTGGATGGGTGCATCTTCCCACTTCTTAGTGCCCTCCTTTCTCCCAGCAGTCACCCTATTCCATCTCTGTGTTTTATTTCTGCATGGAAGAGCCTGAAAACAGTGTCTTTGCTGACATGAACTATGTTATATTTCTTCATGGAAGTTAATATTCCCCACATTCCAAGCCAAGATTTTAAAAGTCACAATTGCCAGGGTTGGTGGCTCATACCTATAATCTCAGCCCTTTGGGATGCTGAGGCAAAAGGATCACTTAAACCCAGGAGTTCAAGACCAGTCTGGGCAATGTAGTGAGACCCTGTCTCTACAAAAAAAAAAATCGTTTTTTGGAGGCGGAGTCTAGCACCGTTTCCCGGGCTGGAGTGCAGTGGTGCGATCTCGGCTCACCGCAACCTCCGCTTCCCAGGTGATTCTCCTGCCTCAGCTCCCAAGTAGCAGGGATTATAGGTGCCCGCCACCATGCCTGGCTAATTTTTTGTATTTTTAGTAGAGACGGGGTTTCACTATGTTGGCCTGGTTGATCTCGTACGCCTGACCTCATGATCCACCAAAATTTTTAAAAAAATTAGCTGGGTGTGGTGGTGCACACTTGTAGTCCTGGCTACTCGGGGCTGAGGTGGAAAGATCATTTGAGCCCAGGCAGTCGAGGCTGCAGTGAGCCATGATTGTGCCACTGCACTTCAGCCTGCTGAGAGTGAGACCCCCACCTCAAAAAAAAGTTACAATATCAAGTCTGACAGATAGGAAACAAATTTTTAAAGTCAATAAGTTACAGCCCTAAATGTTCCCAGATGGAATAGATTTTGACGAAGTGTCAAGGTTTACAGAGAGAGTCCAAAGCCAATCTCGGGAAATCTTATAAAAGAGACCACTGAGAAGCAACGGGACAGTAATGCAGCTTCATTGCAGACAGCCGACTGGGGGTGAGACACCAGTTCAACTCTTGGCCCCAACAGCTCTTGTGGTTCAGACTCAAGTTCTTCCAACCATTAGCTAGACAGGTCTGCATATGTGAATTTCACTGCAAACTCAAACAAATTGAAATCAAAACCTACTGTGCTCCGCCTAGAACTGACATGCAAGACAACAAACAGCAAACAGATCCTGGTCACTCAACATCACATCATTTCCCAGCTGCTCTGGCTACAGAAAACCCTCACTGTGAGAGCCCACTCTTAGCAAATCTTGTTAGAAGAAATTCTAGCAAAATTTTCAGCCGGCCTCCTCGTTTCACTCCTGCGTGAACTGCATTCAGGCCTGTGCTCAGTCTGTGTGGGGCCCTGACTCCAGCCTTCCTACCCTCTGGGCTGAGCACAACAGCCCACAGCTTTCCTAAGCACAGTCCTGAAAGGTACCATACATTAAAAAACAAAACATCCTTCTTCTGCCGAATAAAAACCAAACTCACACCCTGGCCCATAAGACTCCCATGATTTATAAACAGATTTCTCAAAATGTATTTTCCAAGAATATTTTCAATTTTCTGCACTCACTCAGGCACCTGTTGCCACTCCATGCCTGACTTGCCCTTAGCAGGCGTGGGACCCAGCTCAGCCCGCCAAGCTGGGGGGCAGAATGAGCCCAGTGGGCTCGAGCAAAACTCAGGCAAAGGTGACAACAGCCACAGAGGTTTGTGGCCAGAAAAACGACCCCCCAAAGATCCTGTAAGAGAAAGACAAAAGGAGCTGAGCAGGGAGCACCAGCCTCTGGGGCGATAAATGCGGATTACGATGAAGGTGTCCTTCAGGAAGACCAGCCGTGAGACAGAGAAGCCAACTGGACTTAAATTATCTTTCTAAAAAATGCAATAAATGAAAGTTGTATAACTGGAAAATAAAATAATTGCAGCAAAGCACTTAACACGTAAGTATTAGCAGTGATTGAATTAATTTACACTCCCATCAACAGCGTAAAAGTGTTTATGTTTCTCCATATGCTCTCCAGCATCGGTTGTCTCCTGACTTTTTAATGATTGTCATTCTAACTGGCATGAGATGGTATCTTATTGTGCTTTTGATTTGCATTTCTCTAATGACCAGTGACGATGAGCTTTTTTTCATATGTTTGTTGGTTGCATAAATGTCGTCTTTTAAAAAGTGTCTGTTCATATCCTTTGCCCACCTTTTGATGGGGTTATTTGTTTTTTTCTTGTAAATTTGTTTAAGTTCTCCATAGATTCTAGATATTAGCCCTTTGTCAGATGGGTAGGCTGCAAAATTTTTTTCCCATTCTGTTGGTTGCCGGTTCACTCTGGTGATAGTTTCTTCTGCTGTGCAGAAGCTCTTAAGTTTAATTAGATCCCATTTGTCTATTTTGGCTTCTGCTGCCACTGCTTTTGCTTTTGATCATGAAGTCCTTGCACATGCCTATGTCTTGAGTGGTATTGCCTAGATTTTCTTCTAGAGTTTTTATGGTGTTAGTTCTTATGTTTAAGTCTTTAATCCATCTAGAGTTAATTTTTGTATGAGGTGTAAGGAAGAGGTCCAGTTTCAGCTTTCTGCACAAGGCTAGCCAGTTTTTCCAACACCATTTATTAAATAAGGAATCTTTTCCCCATTGCTTGTTTTTGTCATGTTTGTCAGACAGTGTGGTGATTCCTCAAGGATCTAGAAATAGACCATTTGATCCAGCAATCCCATTACTGGGTATATACCCAAAGGATTATAAATTGATCTCTTATAAAAACACATGCACATGTATGTTTACTGCAGTGCTGTTCACAGTAACAAAGACTTGGAACCAACCAAAATGCTCATCAATGATAGACTGGACAAAGAAAATGTGGCACATATACACCATGGAATACTATGCAGCCATAAAAAAGATGAGTTCATGTCCTTTGCAGGGACATGGATGAAACTGGAAACCATCATTCTCAGCAAACTGACACAAGAACAGAAAATCAAACACTGCATGTTCTCACTCATAAGTGGATGTTGAACAATGAGAACACATGGACACAGGGAAGGGAATATCACATACTGAGGCCTGTCAGTGGTCAGGGGACTAGGGGAGGGATAGCAGCGGTTGGGGGATTGGGGAGTGATAGCATTAGGGGAAATACCTAATGTAGATGACGGGGTGATGGATGCAGCAAACCACCATGGCACGTGCATACATATGTAATAATCCTGCACAATCTGCACAGGTACCCCAGAATTTAAAGTATAATAAACAAATAAATAAGTGATTGAATATAGTCAAGTGGATGGCACACACAGCAGAACATATTCGATTGGTGCAAAAGTAACTGTGGTTTTGGACTGTGAATTTTAAATCATTAAAATTAGGTTCAAACACATCTTCATTAATCAAAATAGGAGCCATTACATTCAGCATATTTTCATTAATCAAAATAGGAACGATTACATCAAGCACATTTTTGCCAATGAGAAACGTTTGTTTATTCCTGTAGCACAAAAATCCTTGCTTCAGGATTCGACAAACTCTTGGAAAGCAGTTTCCGCATCTTGCTGGGAGTTGAAGTGTTTTCCCTGCAAAAAGTTGTCCAGATGCTTGCAGAAGTGGTCATCTGTTGGTGACGGTCAGGTGAATATGGTGGATGAGGCAAAACTTGTAGCCCAATTCGTTCCACTTTTGAAGCGCTGGTTTGTGTGACGTGCGGTCGGCTTGTTGTGGAGAAGAACTGGGCCCTGTCTGTTGACCAGTGCCAGCTGCAGGCGCTGCAGTTTTTGGTGCATCTCACTGATTTTCTGAGCACACTCCTCAGGTGGAACGGCTTCACTGGGATTCAGAACGGCAGCAGACCTCCAGATGGGGACCGGGACTGGTTTTTGGGGCAAGTTTGGCTTTGGGAAGTGCTGAGGAGCTTCTTCTCCACTGAGCTGGTCATCGCTGCTTGTTGTATAAAATCCACTTTTCATCACACGTCAGGATCTGATTGAGAAACGGTTCATTGTTGTGCAGAATGAGAGAACAGGACACTTCACAACGACATTTTCTTTTTCAATTTTCACTCAGCTCGTAAGGCAATCACTTACCGAGCTTTCTCACCTTTCCCATTTGCTTCACACTGAACAGGCACAGAACGGCCGGCGTTGAGTTCCTTGGCTGTCAGAGAATCTGCCTGATGATGGCTCTCTGCTCGTGTCGTCAGCTTCGTCTTCAAGGCTCTCGTCTTTTTTGCAAGACTCCTTGCACCACCGCTGCGATGTACATTCGTTAGCAGCTCCTGGGCCGTTGTGTTGTCGATGATGCCCGTTGTCTCTGCGGCTTTAGGACCCACTTTGAACCTGAATAAGAAAATTGCTCAAATGTGCTTTTCTCCTAACATCATTTCCACAGTCTGAAATAAACATCAAGTAATAAGTGATTAGAAAAAAAACGTAAAGTGGGAAATGCTCATTAAAATGATGTATAGCATAACCACATCGATTTAAAAATGTTTCCAATATCAAGTGGCAAATTCCAACAATGCAAAAAAGCAGTTACTTTGGCACCCACAGGGTGAACACAGAACAACAGAGGATGGAAAATATATTAAGAAATAAAAATAACAGCAGGAAAGAAGACACCAGATCCAGGTGAAAGCAAGCACTACTCCAAGACGACACAGCATTGAGAGACTGTTCACCCTGAAAACAGGTTTGGACTTTCTTCTCAGTTCTTCGTCATCTGACTTTTAGGATTGCCGACCTAAACAAGAGGCAGGAAGAGAGGAAGACGCTCCAAGGAAAACAGTGTGTGTTTGCGATTGAGCGCTGCCATGGAGTCACTGGGTACACGCAGGGAGACAGGAAGGGAGGAAGACGCTCCAAGGAAAACTGTGTGTGTTTGCGATTGAGCGCTGCCATGGAGTCACTGGGTACACGCAGGGAGACAGGAAGGGAGGAAGACGCTCCAAGGAAAACAGTGTGTTTGCAAATGGAGCACTACCATGGAGCCACTGGGTACACGCAGGGAGGTCAAGGAAGACACGAGTTTTTAAAGAAAACGTAAGTGGTTTGGAGACAATTACCCTTGGGTGGCACCAGGGTGGGGCTGTTCAGGCGGCTGCCGGGCAGATGTCCTCACAGCGGTGCTTTCTGTGTGAGGTCGCAGGGGCTCTCACGCAGGGATGTGGTGTCTGCAGCGTCTTCCATGATAGCTCTCGTCATCAGGCTTTCATGCAGCAGGGCCCCCTCAAGGCCCTCCCCAGCTCCACTCCTCCAGGTTTCAACAAAAGCGACTCCACTTTCGTTCTGACAACCGTCAATGTCCTTGAAAAGTCGTGTAGAACTTAGGTGACATTTGTCAGGCAGCCTCACAGCTGGTCAAGACTTCTGCTTGAGATCTGACCCAGTCCGCACGCTGGAGAAGCGGTGTGGAAACAGCACTAGCCTGGGAGTCACACGGTGAAGCCCAGCCGTTGTTATCTTTAACTGATTGCTTCATTTTTCTTATCCTTAATTTTTTGTCCCATTAATGGAAGGGCTAGACAATCTTACAGCTTTTAAATTCTTTGTTATTATAAAATGATGCAAATCTAGGCACAACACAACTTGCATATTTTTATCCTCTCTGACCTGAAAGTACAAAGTATTGTGCTCATTTGCATAATGTATATGTTTAAATTAACAGATGTTTCCATTATATACATTATATTTTTCTAAATGGGTATTTTTCCATCTTAGTAGCAGCCTTGTAACTCCAGTAACAAAGTTTAAGTTTTGCGAATTTGATAAAAGAGAAAAGATGTAGGCTATTAAATTTATAATTTGTCACATACATTGTCAAATTTAAAAGTGAGTAATTGGCACTTTTCAATATAGTATAACTCAATATAGTATAATTACAAAATCTGGCATTTTTTAATTCAATAGCAGGAGAGTTAATGTTCTCCATATATATATGGAAATGTTAGCATGGTTTATGTATTTTTAATTACCTGGTGACAAATCTTTGAAGTACGCTGCGTCTCCAGACAAATTCATCTTTATGTGCTCCTCTATTACAAGCACCTTGATAAAGGCCACTTAACACATCTCAAGAAACACAAATGTATTTTTAATGGAAATAACCCTTTTAGTGACCTTTCTTCCAGAAGAGTCTACTTTTTAGGATAATTATTCACTTACCAGTGAGAGGATTTAAACTTTAAAACAGTTGAAGGCTTAGCATTTTGCAGAGCCTGAAAGAGAATGCAGACAGACATTCTGGTGATTCAGATCTCTGGCTGATCACGCTCGTCAAGCTTCCAGTTGCACGTGAACAAGTGAGGAGGTTGAGGTGGGCGTGTGCCCCTCCAGAGCCTCGGAGAAGATGCGGTCTCAAGGGAAGAATTGGTGGGGAGAGGCTCTGTGCTCCAGGTAGCCTGGCGACTGGGAAGCGGAGTGGGGCTGGGCTCTGAGGGGTGTGAGGGATGCTGAAGCCAGGGCCTTGGCACATACTGAATGGAGTTAGGTCTGTGGTGGGAAAGGCAGGAGACAAGCCACAGTGGAAGGAAGGCCTGGCTTGCCTCTTCCTGTCCCGGGGCCCAGGTGTGGAGCTGTCAAATGATCCCCCATGGGTTATTTTGCCTTTGTGGGAGGCAAACCATCTGAAAAACCTTGGTTTTAGCTTGTTGCTCAAAAAAGCTGGTGCTTTAGACAAAATGGATCAGCTCCCAGCGGGAACTGGCTGTGTCGTAGAATTCGCAGACGCATGGCAATCCCGGAGCCTGGAAATGCGAAGTGGGCGTTCTCGGAGTTTTACCAGCAGGAGGCATTTTATTTGGGGTGATTCCACCTTGTTCAAGAACATCCTGGGCTCCCGTTTTCGCAGCTAGAAGAAAAGAAAACACAGGAGGCAAACAGCTCTTTTCCATGGCTGCTGAAGAGAAACAGACAAAGCAGTCAGGTGTGGGCTTCTCCTGGAAGTGCGCCTGGGTGGGCTGCAGTGCCCATGGCCGCAAGCTATGATTTTAAACAGAATTTACTTCACTTTGATCAAGTGCCTGATTCATAGCTCCGCAGCTCCTGTGACAAATTCCGCAGTGAGGTCCCTAATGTATCCAGATACTCGCAGTGCGGGGAGGAAGAAGGGTGTGGACGAAAAACACCTGACACTCCACACTGACTGGCCCAGAGTACAGGGGACCAGGCACCAGGTTGCCCGCCACGCATGCAGGCGCCACGCACAACAGACACACTCTGTGTGGACCGGGGAGACCGTGGGCAAGAGGGGGCTCACCAACTGTCACTAAAGGCGCCTATAGGACACCAGGAACCCCATGGCTCAGACTTGTGGAGTCAGGAGCTGCAGCAGGTGGACCTGGAACCTGATGTTACAAAGAATGACCCACAGAGCCTGTCCTGGGGGCCCTGGGAGGAGCTGGCACAGGCGGAACGATGGGCCAGGGTCACCAGCTCCTTCCCAACCCGAAAGAGCCTGTGCGGGGGCCCCAGGGCTCTGTCTGGGGTGTCTGACCCCACAGTCAAAGTCCTTGATCAAAGAGAAACTTCAGGCAAATTAAGTTTCACAGAGTTTAACTGAGCCATCATCCTGCAGCCTTCCCAGCCCAGGGGCTCTCAGGCCTCCAGCACAGCTGCATGGGGGAGGAAGCTTTATGGACAGGGAAGGAAAGGGACAGACGGAAATGGAAGTGAGGGACAGCCAGGTTGGCCACAGCCACGTATGCCTTATTTTAACAGGGTTCTGCACCTGATCAGCCAAATCTCGGTGACGGGCACAAGGGTGGGCCACGGTCTGTGTACAGCTCCATTTAGTTCAGGATGTGCAGAAAAACCTCTGGGCCGAACTTAAAATACATAAAGTCGCAGCTTTAGGCTACACTGAATGTGACGGCCTGGAGTGGGGCCTCCCTTACCGAGCCATGGGCGCCTCCCTGCCCCTCCCTGGGGCTGACTCAGAGCCAGGCCAGCAGCCTGGAACGGCACCCCCACCTCTGCCTAGCACCCCAAGGCCAGGGCTCCGCGCTGTGGGAAGCACCAGCCCCAACGACCTTCCTCCAGAGCTCCCCGGGGCCGGCTGCAGAGGCGGCCTCCGTCTGGTGAGCAAATACCAGGCTGCGTGGAACATGGGTGAGGGCACCGCTCTCTGCTCCACTTTAGGAAAGAGGCACCTGGGATAAGAAAAATCATTCCTTTTTCTAAAGGAACCAAGGGTCATGGGCTCCGCTCGGAAGCAGCCTAAGGCTCCATACGGCTGACACCCCGGAAGGTGTGCTTGCCTGTGCGTGTGGTGGGGTGCGTCTCGAATGGGGCCCTGGAACCTGGCCCCTGGGGTGACAGCCCCACCCAGCCCCTGAAGCTGCGAAGCCGGGAGAGTGAGCCAGGTCCCTGAGCGGCCTGCACCCACCCAGCGGCTTCTCTGCTTCTCACCTGACGGGCTGGTGTTGAGCCCAGACCACTGTGGCCTAGAAAGAGGGGGAGGCCTTGGCTGCTCCTGCAGAGGCAGCTCTGACGTCATTCTCAAAATCTGTTTATTTTAATATTTGAAGGTATTTTAATGTGTTTACTTGGTTCGAATTTTAAAATAAAAAACAAATAAGTAAAATCCCACCTTGTCCTGCTTGTTCACCTAGCCACAGAACTTCCTGTGTGAAGCCAGTTACTTCTTCTGTGTCTTCTAGATCATTCCAGAAACAGCCTGTGCACAAGCAAAAATAAAAGCAAATAACATGCATGTATATATGTATGTGTGTATATATATTCCCCTATTTATGGACAGGAGGACACCCTTCATACACACACACACAGTGCACAGTGCATGTCACACCCGGTTACAGACAGGAAAATTCCCCCCCACCACAGTGCATGTCACACCCTGTTACAGACAGGAAAATGTCCCCCCCCACACACACAGTGCACAGTGCATGTCACCAGCTTTTACAGACAAGAAAATGCCCCCCCCACACACACACAGTGCACAGCATGTCACACAGTCTGTTACAGACAGGAAAATGTCCCCCCCCACACACAGTGCACAGTGCATGTCACACCATGTTACAGACAGGAAAATGTCCCCCCCCCACACACACAGTGCACAGTGCATGCCACATGTTCTGTTACACCTGTTGTATGTTACATACTTTATGCTACACACTATGTGATACAGGATATTGTTGAAACTGGATAATTCCGTTTTCCGCGCACAGGATGAACAACAGGAGTGTAGCTCACGTGCTGGGCCACCCTGCAGCTCACAACCCTAGCAGGAGCATGCAGAGCGTCAGGAGTAGGCAGAGGGGCAGGAGCACGAAGGGGGCGGGAACAGGCAGGGGGCAAGTGCAGAGGTCAGGGCTGGGGCTTTGGGCTCTTGGCCCTGTGATAGCCTCTAGAGGTGAGTGCCTGCAGCTCCCGTGTCACAGAGCTTTCTCAGCTTGGCTGCCTGCAGACTGCATGAGTGTGAACCAGCTCAAGGGACCTTCTGCCGTATCACAAGGGCAGAGGGCCAATGTTACAGCCTTCTATATCCCAAGCTCTTGTCCAGTGTCCTGGAAGAATCAAACCACAAGAGGGCTCGAAGGATGAGTGCAAGGTTTGATTGAGTATTGAAGGCGGCTCTCAGCAGATGGGGTGGGGGGGTGCTGGAAGGTGGAACGGTGGGGAGATAAGCTTCCCCTGGAGTGTGGCTGTTGTCAGGGAACTCCTCTTGCCGTTCAGGCGTATCTTCCCTCCTTCCCTGCGGGCCACAGTGTTGCTGTCAGCCGCTCTCCACCGCTCTCTGCTACTTTCCGCCACGCTCTTGACATCCAGCAGTTTGTGTTCCCGGCTAAGGTCTCGGGTTTATATGGACACAGGATGGGGAGCATGGTGGGCCAGAGGGGTCTTGGAAATGCAACATCGCAGTGGGCAAACAGGAGCACCTGCTCTCACTTAGGTTCGAGGGCACAGGCCCGAGACTGGAGCCCTCACAGGACTTTACCCCTCTCCATCCAGCCCTTTCCTGCTTCTCCCTGTCACTGTGACCTACGTGGTGCACTGTTCCCTTATTATATGTTGCTTATAATATTCATATTCTGCTTATGTTTCCCAACTTTAATTCTTACACACAAACCTATGATGCACATAATCCAAAATCAGGTTTATCACTTAACCATTATCTTGAAGATTATGCCTTACTAGTATAGACTTTATCGTTCTTTTGAAAAGAAATGTGATTTTCCATTGAGTGGATACAGCATTGTGTATTTAAGCAATGCCTTATTGAATTACTCATAAGGCATTTCATTGTTTTTTTAATAGATCAATGTATATACTCTATACATATGTGATTACATATATCTAATAAAGTTTAAGATATTGAATTATCAGGTCAAAAGAGTGAGCATTTTATCTTTGGTGTCTAATTTTCAATTGCTTTTCATAAATGCTAAGCTGGTTTGCAGTTCTACTGGCAGTGTGGAAGACAGCATATATCTTTCCACACTCTTAATAATCCAACTATTCCTAGTCTAAGATGCAGAAATCAAAAATCATAAATCACGATTTCAATCTTTTTCTTACTTTTAATTAAATTTAGCATCCCTTAGCACATTTGTACTCTATTTATTGTCTTATCTTTCAGCCATTTTTTTCAGTTGGATTATTGGTATTTTATTACTGAATTTTAGAATCCATTTAAACATTTTAAAATGTGCTTTATGGTAGCAATAGATTTTATGGTTTGTCTATTTCCCTGTAACCATGCCACTTTAAATATATTAATCAAATTATAAATTCTAATTTTTCTACTTATTAATACTTGGAAGCATTCCTCATCCTGAAACCACAAGAAAATGTCTTCAAAATTTTTTGGTGCTTATATAGTTTTAGTTTTTACATTTAAATCTTTGATTTAAAAAGTTTATTATGGCATAAACTGTGAGAAAAGGATTTAAGTAATATTTTGTTAAACCCACAACCATATTCTTTGCTTCAGATTACAGGTCTTCTTAATACCATGCTTCTCCTTTAGTTAGGAATTCCAGCTCTGAAGTACTATTTTCCTCATCCCCGCCCAGTGCTAACATTTGTGTTACTCAACTGCAAGAAGCACTGAGAATTAAACAGAAACCTTTTGAAAGCTGGAGCCATTTATTTTGCTATTTACACATTTTTATAGATGATTTAGTTAGGTAGGATTGTTTCTAAGTTTTACGTAAAAATTTTGAAAAGTAATTAAATTAAAATGTTGTTCTCCCTAACCCTCATTTTCCATGGAAAGGATCACTGCTCCTTGAAAAAATGGCTGGTTCTATTTCTGGTGAAGACAGGCACAAAGTGAGCATAACATCTTGTTAGACCAGGAAAAAGCAAAACAAAACGAAAAACCCTCAAGGTCAACTCTTGCTTCAAAGCCACAGGATATGTCTGGGAATAGTCAAAGCAGCAGAAGGAAACTAGCAAGTCCCACGAGGGGTAACACAAACGGTGCTTTCCATTCTCACAACGGATAATGGAGAAGAGCAGGAACAAGCTGCGACACACATCGGTGCAGTTTGATCTCACACAGGTGATATTGGCAGGGACGCCAGACTCGAGGCTGAACACTGTGCGTCCCCATTTGTGTCAACAAAACAGGCAGAACTAACCCCTGCCGTGCCTCGGGCGGGCGGCAGGAGCAGCAGGAAGGGCGTCCTCGCTGGGGGCCCGCTGCTGGCCCACGAGTGTGCTCAGTTTGCAAAAACCCATGGAGCTGGAAACTTGTGATGCGGGCACCTTTCTGTGTGACTTTTTTCTCTCATCAAAGCTTTCTCGAAAAACACTCAGGATACAACATGAACAGCTTCCCCTGGAAAAGAAAGGGAATGTTCCAACATCAAGAATGATAATAACCTTGAGGGACTCTAAACACATCTACGGTATAAAATCCCATGAATTATTAAAAATTCTCAACAACACCTAAAATCAAAGGAATCTGTGATCACTTCTGGGAGATACCAGAGAAACAAGTAATTCTGAAAATGGAGAGAAAAGAGCACTGATCCTGCCTTTTGTATAAAAACTGTCTCCTGACCCCATGATCCACCTGCCTCAGCCTCCCAAAGTGCTGGGATTACAGGCATGAGCCACCGCACCTGGCCTTAACATGTATTTTAAATTCATTAGAATGATTATAGAAATGTGTGAGGAGTGGCCGAATATTTGATGATATTAAGCAATTACTGGATTAATTTCAAGTTTGATAATAAATTGTCAGTATTTTTAAAGGTGTTGAAATGTCCTTTAAAGATACATGTAGAAATATGTGGAGAAATATACCATGGAATTACTAGCACAATGGCATTGAGGAAACACACAAGGATATTCACTGGCACATAATCTGATCAGATGAAAATTGTGGAAAAGTATAAGTATCCAGATAGTACAAAATGGAGGAAAGAATTTTTTTTTTTGGGTGGGGGACTGAGTTTCGCCCTTGTTACCCAGGCTGGAGTGCAATGGTGCGATCTCGGCTCACCGCAACCTCCGCCTCCTGAGTTCAGGCAATTCTCCTGCCTCAGCCTCCTGAGTAGCTGGGATTACAGGCACGCACCACCATGCCCAGCTAATTTTTTGTATTTTTAGTAGAGACGGGGTTTCACCGTGTTGACCAGGATGGTCTCGATCTCTTGACCTCGTGATCCACCCGCCTCGGCCTCCCAAAGTGCTGGGATTACAGGCTTGAGCCACCGCGCCCGGCCCGGAGGAAAGAATTTGAACAGTGATAGAAAGAGGAACAGACCTAGGCCAAGGCATTGAATGTGTTCATCTTGGGGAAGGCGAGAGGGCGAGAAGCAGAGGAAATCAGACGGGCTCTGAGCTGCTCAGTGCTCAAGACAGATCAGAGATAAATTAGAGTTCATTATGCCATAAGCTCCCCTGGGTATATATTTGAAATTTTCTATAATAAAGAGTTATATAAAAGTGTAAGAATAATTTTTTTCAAAGAAAGATTACAAGCTCCAATCTCTCATGTGAAACAATTGAAAAAAATCAAAAAGACCATTTCAACCCGAAGAGAATCTGACCCCCAGGAAAAGGGTCATTGTCTACAAGCAATGTGAGGACACAAGTCAGCAACAAAACAAGATGCTGCTAAATTGAAGGGCTTTTTTTGGTTAAAATACATAAAAATTTTGTTTTTAAAAGACAAAACAAAACAGTAATCATAGCTCAACTTTATTTATGAACATAGATACAAAAAGCTTAAATAAAATAAGTCATACGTAGCTATGTACAAAGAAACATAAATCCATCTTGAATAATTAATGCTTATCTCAGGAATACAAAGTTTATTCAAGAGCTAAACAACCTATCATTTACCTTCTTCATTACCTTAACAAACTGAAAGGGTAAAAAATAAAAGCCATTTCAACAGAAGAAAAAAATTGATACCATTCAGCCAATCAATTATAATATGAATATTTGTGAACTAATAATAGAAGAGACTTCTCAAATTTGATTTTTTTAAAAAAGTATCTACCACAAGCTTATATCCGTCCTTTAATAGTAAGAAATTGGTTGCATTTCCACTTAAGGCAACACTAAAAATGTAAGTATTTTCATGAATTTCACAATTTTACTGGAAGTATTAGCAAGCGAAGTGCCGCAAGTCAATGAGAATATGGGAAATGCGCATTGTGAACACAGTGGTCTCTAAATAGAAAAAACAAGTTAAAAATACACTGTAGAAATTGCATATCTAGCTAAATTTTAGTTTGGGAAGTTATTTGCAATGTGTAGTACAGCAGTAGTATCAGGATTACATAAAGGCCAAATAAAACAATGAGAAAATAAAAGGAAACAGTAAGAGCGGATAATCACCCAGGAGAAAATCACCAACAAGACAATGAATATGAAAACAATCAGCACTCCTGTTAACTAAGAAAACAGACATCAAAGATGGAATTTCATAGTTACTCGCTTTACAAAAAGTGACAGATATGAACAAGTAAGTTATCATGGATGTAGAGAAAAGGAGCCTTTATAAACAAGGTGTTGGCATGGACATTTATACAACCAGGCTGAAGAACCAATTTACAGTGTCGATTAAAATTTCAGTGTGCATCTGCTCTAACATAGCAATTCCAGCTTTAAGAAGATATCTTAGAGTAACGCCGATATATTTACATAAGGAAATACATTCAGAATGTTCACTACAGCATTTACTTGTTAAGGTGGAAAACTAGAAAAAAATCCACATATCCAAATAGTAAGAAATGGACAAGCTGTTTTCTGAGAAGCATGATAAGCCATCGGGGCAGATCTGACCATTATGCACAAATATTTGTGCTTTGAAATGATTAGAAAATTGATAAGCCCTTAGGCAAATCAATTAAGAAACCCAAATTTCCAAATGTCATTATGTAAAAGGAGACACCACTAGAGATCCTAGAAACATTAAAATCATAAGGAGTGTGATAAACAGCACTAGATGACATCATCAGTCATTAAAAATATAATTTACGAAGGTGATGGACAAAAAATATAATAAGTATAGCCTGAAATTTGAATTTGTTAATTAAAACCTTCCTACAAAGCAAACTCCATCCAGATGGCTGTGAGTTCTGATTTCTAGAGCCCTTCAGTAAGAAGAGCTGGAAATGCCTGTTGCAGGTTGTCTATCTGAGGACAAGGATCAACAGCACTGTGGAGCACACCTGTGCCTCGTGATAAATTCACATGATGAGGACCTGTGGCCCTGTGCAGCGTGGATCTTGTTCAACACAAGCTCAGGGTGACGGGACATGTGGGAAGATATCTGACAGTCAGTAAAACTCTGCAAATCCTGTGTTGAGATGTTTACAGAACAGTGTATAGTTTATGACTGGAAAGGTAAGAGAAAGAACATTTAAGGGGAACCCACTCCCTGGCACTGCCATAGCAAGTTACGGTGCTCTTCCTGCATATGTTTCACTCAGATCAGCCTTTTTTTTTTTTTTTTTTTTTTTTTTTTTTTTTTTTTTTTTTTTTTTTTTTTTTTTTTTT